CACACACACACACACACACACACACACACACACACACACATACACACACACACACACTGACTCTGTCTACACTGGTAAATAAACTCACATTTTCTATTTTTTTGTTTCTTTCCTACTTTTCTGGGATGTAATGAGATAGAACGACCCACAGAGGCAAACCTCTTTCTCTCTCTCTGTGAGTGAAATCGAGTTAGATTATCTAAAAACTGATGGAGATTTGTTCAAACTTGTTCAAACTCACTTAGAGTTTCGCGTACTATTCTTGGCCAGACGGGAATCGGGCCAGGTGTTATTGTTCACCTTGGCTTCGAAGATGGAAATAGCCCCAATCGTGAAAATATAGGTGTCAATCTCGTGGCCACCCGGTGGTTTTCAGCCTATTGATCAACAATGGCGATTCAAATAAACGGATAGCCATCCACCGTGCATCATTCATTCGTGAAAACCTTGAAGTCACTGGGATTAATCGATGGATATGCGGGGCTGTCCTCATTGACCCTTGGTCGCATTACAGGATATCGAGTGCAATCAATCAACCAATCAATCGATCGATCGATCAATCAATCAATCAATCAATCAATCAACCGACCAATCAATCAAATCAATCAATCAATCGATCCGGTGACTGTTCACTGCTGATGATTGTTTAAGTAGATCAAACAGATGTGCAGTGCTTCTCAAGAATGCTAAATGTATATCATAATCAAACATAACATATCTCCAAGGCTGACTTTCATGAGAATATTTTAAGCTTAATAAATGTTTCTTATTTATTCGTAATCGGACTCTGGTAATCATGCAGTCATGGCCTTGTGAAGTCTGGTACCATGACAGATTGATGCTGTACCCTTATATTGTTGTCGGGTCGTAATCCTTCAGGGGCGAACCCGTGTAATCCAAATGTTTAGTACGTCTGAACAACACCAACGACCATAGTTCCTCGGTTCGAATCCCGGTGGAGTCAATGAATTTGTGCATGGTTACATGTGAGGCGTTCTGAAACTGTACGACTGCAAAATGTAGCCCAAAGTTGTATACATTATGCATGCTTTCTGCTACTATCAGACTTGTTCTTTGCTTTGATATACGTAAGCGTAGGCAGCGTCCAAGCTTGGGTTCGAATCCCACCGAAGCTACTAAACTTTCCACAGGTTCAACATCAATCCGATAAACAACAATTTGAATACGTAATTATGCCTTTTTTGAAGAAGTATTTGTTTCTAACGGAGTCATCACTTGTTATTCGTATACATATGTACACACACACACACACACCAAGAATTCGCATAGTTGGTCGAAATCAGAAAATTACTTCGAAATCAATTGCTTTTTCTCATCACTTCATCGATTAGTAGGTGGCAAACAATTTCGCAAGATTTAACTGTTTACCCTAGTTTCGATATGCACCGTGTCACTAAGCTTCCACGACTGTCAATGCAACTGCCAACTGGGCAAGATATGCCAATTGTCAACTGGATGTCCTTCACTCCACTAGCAGCTGTTTGCATAACCATCCCATGTCCCAGTGTCTTACTCCCGTTGAGAGGGACCCCTTTGTTTGGAATTTTCTTGATGCTATCTTGTTCATAGTTCAAGTATTAGTGATGGTGGTGATGGTGATGGCGATCAAGTAGTATAGTGCGATTTGAACAATTAACCTTGCCTTACAAGCTTCAGTGAATTCTGAGGAAAACCTGTCGGGGCAGTTAGCTTACATGCGCTAACTGGTGGATGTCATATGCCTCTGTAAGTTGGATGAGTGAATTTGAATGTGAAAAGATCAGTGTGCTATCGGCGTGGCTTCGTCGTAGCTGTTCAACTGGTAGAGTGTGTGCCATACAAAAGCGTAGGCGGAGTTCATGCGTGTGGGTTCGACTCGCACCGAGGCTACTGATCTTTTCACAATCGCCATAGTAACTTAAAATCTGTCAAACAACAATTTGAACGATTGTTCAGAATTTTATTCTCTGATGCATTTTATTCCATTTCGAATGTTAACTGAAAAATAGCACTTGCTGACCACTTTGCTTCTTTCTCCTGTGTGACCATGATCGTCTTGGACAGTCCCAGAAGCACTCGTTATGTCTGTTGGCCCCACCGTTTCCCTTGGAAATACGGTCGGAATGAAATGCTTTGATTTACTGAGCATTCTTGCATATCACTACCGAATGTCATCTGCATGCTTAACATTATATACTCCGTTCTCCTTCCCTTCCTCCCTCACTCCCTGTCTTACTTATCCCAGAACCTGATGGACCGGTGAGACAGTTGGTAGCCAATGGGACCGCCTCAGACACTATTGTGGTCGCCTGGGATAATCCTGCCCCGGAACATTTGAACGGTAATGTCGATCGATATTGGGTGTGTCGGCAACGTGTGAATGATAGTCTGACCGTATCGGAGCTGGCCCGATTACCGTGGCCCGATGAGACTAGCGAGGAACAGATGAGCAACAGGTCAGTGCCATCGGACGGGTGCGCGCATAATTGAGTTCAACTCAAGGGTTTATTTAAACAAATATTTGTTATTGTTTTTCCTGGTGTTGTTGATGGTGATGATGTTTGTGTATCGAGCGTGAGATATTGTGTCCGGATTTGATCAACGATATTTGGTAGCTGGTCACAATACTCTGTCACCTGCCACTGTGAATGCGCGCAAAATTGGCCACCGTTTCATAGCGTATGAGAAAAAAGTTATTAAATTTACTTGACTCAATGAGTGTATACTTAAGAAAGCCCTCACCCGAAAGAGTTAAATTGTAGCCACAAAGGTTTTTTTGTTAGGCGTTTATTTTTTACGTTTTATCAAGTGTCTACTGTTTATTCGAATTTGAGGCGAATAAAAATGATCGGAGGTTTTCCCAAATTATCTTGATGATGGCGTAATGTGATCATATTCCGCTTTTGATAGATTTGACAAAAATCTAGACGGACTGATTAGGATTTCACAGGAGCATTTCACGGATACATAGCACCGGGCCCAGTTACTTTTTGTCCCACTCCCCAAAGAATCGTTTTGCATCAGCGTGATTCTTGCCCTGCATATTTCTCACAGTGGGATCAATGCTCGCGGTCGCTACGGTCCAATTCACTGTGCCAAAGTGGTTCGACAACGTGATTACGAGGTGACCGGGTTGCCAAAATTCACAGCCTATGCTTTTCGTGTAATTGCACTGAATAGCAAAGGTCCTTCACCGCCCGCATTTGTTCAAGCTCGAACTTTGGAAGATCGTAAGTTGGGCACTGTTTTGTTTTGTTCATGATCGCTTTGGCGGACACAACTGCAGACAATGGATGGATCTACTCATCTACTTCTTTCCTGCTCCCCCTCCGCACACACACACACACACACACACACACACACACACACACATTCTCACACCAGTTCCCCAGGCCCCTCCGGCGGATGTGACTTGTGCGTCACAACAACACAGCATAACTGTCTCGTGGAATCCACCGCATCCGAATACAATCAACGGTATCCTGACCGAGTATCATGTGAGCTATTTCGCTGCGAACGCTTATGGAGGTAAGTCCCTTTCCCTTTGTCACTCCCTCATTCAATCAATCAATCAATCAATCAATCAATCAATCAATCAATCAATCAATCAATCAATCAATCAATCAGTTAATGAATGAATGAACGAATGAATGGATCTATTTATCTATTAATCTATCTATCTATCTATCTATCTATCAATTAATCAATCGCTCTTTCAATCAATTCATCAGTTAGTCCCTCGCTAGTTTTCATTCATCTTCTCTGTTTCTCGCGCAAGACTTCCGATAGAAATATTGATTTAGTTCACCTTCTACGTATTTCTTGTACGTATCTTTATTCCGCTTGCTTTTATAGCACATCTGCTGTCATCCGTAGTCGCTCGGGGGCGTTCAACTTTGTTCAGTATTGTTTTCATTCCTTCTCCCCTTTCCATATTCATTCCTCTCTGATTGATGCCTCATCATTAACAATTGGGAAACGATACGTTTGATACGTCTTGCGCTCTCTTGCCTCATCTAAATGGTACTAATTATTGCGTAATCTGGAAAATAACGGTTGTTCTCCCCCGCCCCACCCCCCCCCACCCCGGAAAGTGTTATAACTGTCGAATTATTTTGTTTTCCCTCGGTAGAAGTGAGTATCGTGCTCGCCTAATTCAATCCAGAAACATTGAATTATTCGAATTTTATTGATCTACGTGATACGAGCTGGTAATTGGGCCGGACGCACTTTTTTATGGGAGCAACAGAACAAGGTTACTTTTTGAATAAATCACTGCTCAGATCGTCCTCAGGCAAGATCTCTGCTCCGAATAGCTGAGCATGTCGACTCAGTTCTCGCCATCTGTTAGTTGTCTTGGACTTCCTGTTTGTTTGTGATCTCCATCTAGCTGTATTGGTCCAAAAGTCCCAAATGACAGCTTGAACTGGATTGCTCTCACAACTTGAAGTATCTTTTGTCCACATTGGAATCTGCAAACATTGCGTCAATTAGCCAGCCGCAGGGTATTTCTGATCTACTTGCTGCTGTTTATTTGACCAGTTCCCCTTTGATGGGTTTGCGTTACTTAATCGATCACATTCGCCATCTGTTACGATGACAGCGCTGTCGCCTGCAATACGAGCGTTTTCATTGCCCGGCTTAGTTGCATGCCTAACACAATCTACTCCTCCTCATCGCGGTCAATATTCTATCAGAAAAATCGAATTAAAAACGACTGAAAGTCGTTTTGATCAAACCCACTAAGATGTTGGCTGATGATATTTGTGTGAAATTCCAACACACACACCCACCCACACACACATACACACTATAAACATGACATTTCATTCTTAGGGGTAGGGATGCGAATCGTGATCAAGCTTTTCAAATCGCTTTCACAAACACCCACGGTTGCCTCAGGTTTGAAGTTTGAATGCACGCCCCTACCATCCAATTCTGATGATAGACAACTTTGCTGTCACTGGATTCGTTGTCAGGTTTTCCATATCGAGGCCTCATTTTTGTACGGCACGAGTTACCCCCGAAAGTCACACTATCAATCAATTCACTTTTATATAACTGTACTATTGTTTGGTCGTGGTTATACTATCTTGATCGTATGCTTGGATAGGTGGAAAATCTGAGAGCAAGGGAGAACATACTTCTGTTGCGACCTATAAGCCTTTTCTCCAAAGCTCAGTCGATGCGCATCAGCGGACAAAAAATCTCCCTTTTTTCACTTCAAGCTTTATTCTCTCGTGAATTGATGAGTAATTACCTGTCCCGGAAAGCCTTAGTACGGTCGGGGATGGGTATCTCGGGTTGAGGCTGGTCACCCCTCCCTTGCACCTCACCAAATGCTCCCGTACGACCAATTGTCTCAAACGGTCTGTGTTGAGGAAGCCCTACTCACTGCCTTCTCATGGGGCAGAGGTGTTTTCTCACCGAAGTGAGAGGACGAAAAACCGACATCCGGGGTTATAACCGGGTCAGTGAACCACTTGCAGCTCATATAAGAGAGTTGGCTAAAAACCCTGTTTCCAAACCATTCAAGAAGAGGTGTACGAACTACACACTCACACTTTCTTGGTTGTGGCAGTGGTCACCTGTTCGATTGGATATCGACATGTTTTGGGCACCTTGGACATGTGACCTCGTCCAATGGACATCGGTCTCCAATGGATTGCGGTTTTCACACACCTCCGTGCTACCTTGCAGGTTACACTCTGGCTAGCCGAAGGCTCCGGTTGTGGATTCCTCAAGAAAATTCACGTGCCTTGACCTGGGCAATCTGGCAGTATTTAGCCCACGAGCAAATCATGGAACTTTCTCCTTTTCAATAAAGATTTTTGTATCGTGATTTGTTTGGCACAGTTTGGATTCGGGCGTGTGTGTGTGAAATACACACAAACACACACCTGTCCCATTAGTTTTGTCCTTAGAGCACTGTGGTTGAAAACAGTGAGTTGAGTCTTTACAATCTAACAGATATTCTGTCGATAAGATATGGGCAATATTGAGTGACTGCCTTTCTCTCTTATGGCGAGATTGTCTCTTATCCTACCTAGGGACCGAATCATGAGATGAATTGAGATCTGTGACCACACGTGTTCGTGACTGTTTATCTACCTATTTGTTCATGAATGAACTGTAATTCTTCAGGGCATCTATAATCATTCTTGTTGATGTGTCGGTCACCCAACCACTTAGCGAATCAGTGAATGGCTCGTAACTATATGCGTGAGATTGGGGGAGGGGGGGTTCAGGCCGTTTATTTGACTGAC